GATCACTAAAACCAAACAACATTCACTCCAAAATAAACTTTAATTATAGCTATAGTCTATTGGAGTCGATTTCACTACATAACACAAAATTGGAGTTAATTTCAAATATTCTAGAGTTGATTATATTAGAATGTTAGAAAACAAATCTGATTGTGGATTGTGGAATTAATGTTGATCACTTGATTGCAGCCTTTTCTTCTTGTTCTTAAATCTTGATTGAAGCCTTTTTTTTTCTTGTTTCTCTTGAGTTTTGATTGTGGAATATTGATTTCATAGTCGATTTTAAAGATTATAGAGTCAATTACATTGGGAGTCGAATGCAATCAACCATTTTTATTAGGAACTGAATTGAGAAGTTGAGGTGGAATGTCTAACAGTCTAACTCCTCGACTCTTGTACGTGAATATTGATAAATATATTACAACTTATAAATAATAAATTTATATTTCAAAAATTTAGATGGGGCGAGTCATAAACGGATCAGATCGATAGTGATCCATACCCGACGCTTTTAATAAAAGGGTTAATGGGTATGGGTCATTAACGGGTAAACGAATCGTAAAATATGATCCAAACACATTAATTTTGCACGGGTTTGGAGCGAATTGTAGGAAATTTTAGGATTTGTGGTGGAAATCTGGATACCAACTTGGATCGTGATATCACTTTTTGAACTGATATTTCTACCATATGCCTGAGTTACAAGAAATTCAGCCTAGGATAATCCAAGTGGACACTTACGTTTCTAGGCACAGAAAACGTAAGCCAATATGCTAGAGGATTCTGTAAAAGTATGATGAAAAACGAGAGCTTAAGATCGTAACCCTCTTCAGAAGAGGAAGAATTGTTTATATATTAAACGAGACCCCATCCAAGGGCTCTGCCCCTTGGACCCTGCTAGGGGCGCTGCCCCTAGACCTCACTAAAAGGGTGCTGCCCCTTCGGAAACCCTGCACCCAGGGGTGCTGCCCCTGGACACCCGACTAGTCGTCGAATCGGCTTCTAATTCGATCATATACATGCGTGCACTCCGCACAACCACGTACATATATTAGAGTACAAATTATGAAGTCTCTTAGCTCACATATTAGTCCTAGTTACTTAAAATGACATGGGTGACACTAAAATCACCAACACGGATCAGGGTCAAAACCCGCTCCATTGCCAGGTTTATTTACTTGCATATGGTAATGAAAGTGGGTCTTATAGTGCAACCATTCATGGCGAAAAAGTACTCAAAATAATTATCCATGCTCGTCAAAATGTTTCATGTTCGTGTTTCTCAAACTGTGGCAACAGTATATCAAAAGAATGAAAAATAAATCTTTTAGGGTGCGTTTAGTTGTGGAAAATGGGCCGTTTTCCAGAAGAATTTTCAAAGAAAAATGAGAATTTTGAAAATGCGTTTATTTCGTCTATTTTTCTAAATTTTTCACGAAAAATGAAAATTTTCCGTTTTTTAAAATTACAAAGAAGTTGAAATTTTTTGGAAAACCAATAATTATTGTTTTCTACGTTTTTCTAATTCCAAAATATTTCTAAAATATAAACACACACTTAATACCACCTCTACCTACCCCCACCCTAACATCCCCAACCCACCACACCCCTACCTACCCACACCCACCCACTCTCAAGCCCACCCCTACATACACACACATACACACCCACCCCCCATATACACACCCACCCATACAAACACACACCTACCCCCACCCCCTATACACATAGACCCAACACCACTACCACAATTACCGACCTAACATCACAATCACCACCACTACCCCATCACCAGCATCACCACCGCCGCCGTAATCACCACCACCACCGTTGCCATCATCGACACCACCACTACCCCCCACCGCTGCCCTCACCCCCAACCAACCACCGCTACTGTTTTCTAAAAATGAAAACTGATAGAAATATGCATATCTAAACG